CCTCCCCATCACCTCCAGCTTCGTAAGGACGTGTTCCGCACGGGCGTACGCCGCTCCTTTTCCAAACACAATCAACGGCCTCTCCGCGCGTCTAAGCAGAGAAACAGCTTCTTCGATCTTCGAATTGGAAATAGAATAAGGTTCGGGTTTCGCGCGGTTTTTTTCCACTTCGGTCAAGAGTTTTTCCGCTTCGGATTCTGATATCTTTTGATGTAAGACATCGGTGGGGAGATCTAAGTAGCACCCACCCGGCCGGCCTGATTGGGCCCATTCCAAAACTTGGGCCACACAGGCCGGGATTTCGGAGATGTGAGAGGCTCTGACGGAGAGTTTGGAGAAAGGCTTGGTGGCTTCAATCTGGTTGAGTTCCTGGAAGTCGCCGCGGCCGACGTCGGCCTGGTCGCAGGAGCTGGATCTGAATTTATACACGAGTGGAAATTTGGGACCTTGTCGAATTTGCCTCCACCTAACCACGACTTCAGTCAGATAACTCATAACATAACTTAGTTACTGTAATTATAATTATTGGTAAACAAGGGCCTGGGAGTGGAAGACCCTTGTCATCTTGTTCTTGTTCGTCTTTTCCCTTTGTGTTTGCGTCTTCCTTTATGATTTTGGACATTGTTTCAGAGGAGGGGACTTGGATGTCTTTATTTCCAGCATTGTTGGTCCAATGGAAATGCCTCTTGGAGGATGAGTCTTGAGGTTGAGGGGTTGAGGTTGTATCCATGACTGGGGTCTTAATATGAGAAAGAAGAACAAGCTTTAAAGGAAGGTCAGATAGTAGAGAGAGGGAGGGAGACAGAGAGACGGACAGAATCTGGTTTCTTCTTTTTACTGTTGGGGATAGATATGTTGGGCTTTTAGGTTTATTTAATTATTTCTTTGTTGTTCTAGCCATCTCCCCCTTTCATATAGTGAGTACAAGAGAACCAGTCCCACCCAGATCTACCTCCTCAGCTTTCTTTGCCCCAACTGCGTTGACGAAGAAGAACCCAACTTCTCAAAATTTCATTTATAATAGATGACGAACCAAATGCACATTTAACTTACTTAATCTCATTTCAAAACTTAAACAACCAACGTGGCAGAGGGTGAAGAGGACAGCAGGCATAAAACGTAGCATCGCCGTTTGCCACGTCTGATCAAAGTTAACGCCGTCCAATTTTAAGGACTAATACTCAGAGTTTCAAAACAATAAGGACTAAAAACCATCAAAGTTCTGAGTAGGGACTAAAAACAAAATCGTCTTATACTTCAGGGACTAAAAACATATTTAACCCTAAACTTTAAATAATTGCAAATAGTCATGTTTATTGGTTATTAATTGAATCTATATATACGTATAAGATTTATAAATACCCAATTAACTAGGAGTAAGAGAAGTAATAAAATTTAGTTGTTAGTAGGGATGCGTCGGACACGGATAATGCCTACCCGCAACCTGATCCGACAAAAAAAATTCACCCGCAATCCAGATCCGCTACTCGCAAGGATACCCGCTTAAAAAATATCCGCGGATATTTTAAAACCCGCGGATATCCATATATACCCGCGAACACTCGCAAATATTTAAAAAAAATATATATTTTATAAAATATTATAATAAAAATTAAATAAAATTACAAAAAATATATAAAATATAATATATATTAAATTAAATATAAATTTAATTTAATTTTAATTATATTTAACCTTATAAAATATAAATTAATGTTAATTTTAATTAAATTTAACTTAATAAAATATTAATTAAATTTTTATTTTTATTTTTTGCAGATAGCGGATATCCGCGCGTACAGATAATATAATACCTGCACCCGATCCGTTTATAAGCGGATATTAAAAAACCCGCTACCCACAACCCGTGAGTAGTAAATATCCGGGATACCAACTATCCGTCGTGGATTTTATCCGCGGATATCCGCGGACGCGGATTATTTTGCCATCTCTAGTTGTTAGTGAAAGATTTGTCATAAATTGATATATTTTTCAAAACTGTCTTTTTTATTAACACTTTTTTTTCTCTTCTAATTTTTTTTTGTTATTAACTCTATCTTAGTTAACAATATTTTAATCTAAAAACAGTTAATACAATAGACACAAACCAATTAAAAAAATAAACCTAGCTTTTAAATTTTTGTATTATAATGGAACAAACAAAGTAATAAATGGAGTAATATATTAACATTTTTGTAAATTCTTTCGATATCTTTTATCCCTATATATACTTATTTTTCTTAATTGATTGAAAAATAGTATAATAACACCTTTTACTTTTTTAAGAAATATCATATCATATATATTGTAAAAGTTTAAAGAATTTATAAATAAATAAATAATACACTATATTATGATGACACTAAATAAATAAATAAATAATCATAATCATAAGAGTTTTACTCTATATTCTGCCTAGTTATTATGATGACAACAGATCTTTTTTTTCTATTTCTTATTTATAATTAATAACAAATGTGATTCTCTTATTATTTTTTTAGTTTAATTTAGTTCTCTAATTTTTAAAAGGTTTAATTTCATTTTTTATGTTAAGTTAATGTTAATTCTTATATGTTATTTTTAAAATTTTCAATTTTAAAAAATATTTATTTATTTTTTTAATTTAAAAATAAATAAAATTGTCACATGTCTGATTATAGTTATATCACATGATAATAGTACCTGTCAATACTACTGTGATGCAACCATGGATTGTTTATATATATTTTTTAAAAATAAAAATTAAAAATTTTATGGACATGTGACATGAATATGATATTAAAATTAGCTTAATGAAAATCACAAAATTGAATTTTTAAAATTAAATTAAACTTAGTAAACAAACCAAAATTAACGAAAACAAATAAATTAGAAAGTAGATAATTAATTAAACTTATCATTTACATAAAAGGAAGTGCATCGATTTGCAAAAGATGCGTTGTGTTTGTTTTATGGTAATTTAAAAGTGAAAGGAGGAGAAATTGTTGGCAGCGATTAAATATTTTAAGCGTGCTTACGTAAAGAAAAAATAAAATAATGAGATAACATATGTATTGATAAATGATATTTGCTTATTTTTGGTAAATTATTTAATTAACAAATTTTTTTATTTATCATATCAAATTTGTTTACTATTTTTTTTCTTAGTCTAAATATATAATCCTATTTTTTTACTTAATTACTTTTTTATTTTTCACTTTTTCAATTTTTACTTTCCAATCTAAACAAAATATTTTTTTTTATCTTAGCATTTTCTTTTTAATTATTGGAATCTATCAAAATTTAAATATGGGTTGAAGTCTCATATAATATAAAAATGATATAAGTAAAATAATCCAAAACAACTTATTCCTTTAAGTCTCATTTTTTTTCCTTTAAAGTTAAAACTAAAAGTATATCAATTTTTGTTAGATTAACTCGTAACTTATTAATAAATATACTTTTCATGTTATTTTGTGGAATAGCCTTAAAAAGATTGTCTACTATAAATACTAAATTGTAATGTTACTTTTTTTTTTGTTTAATACAATAGTATTGTGCGTATAAGGGAACCAATTAGGTGAATATAATTGGGATCAATATCCTCAAAATCCATTATATGCACCCATATTTTTTTTTTCACATTCTTCCATAAATAAGATAAAAAACAATGGTCATTTATTTTCTTTATAAGAGGTTTAACTCGTGTTTCGATTAGAGGGTATATTTGGAAAAATGAAAATGAATATATTTGAAATGAAAAGAGAGAGGTGAAAATAGAGTTATTTAGATTAAGAAAAAAATATAAATAAATGAAAATGAAAAGTTTATGAAATGTTTTAAATAATTTAATGAACATAACTAGATTCATAATAAAAATACAGTTAAATAAAATATTACAATTTAAATAAACAAATTTTATTTTTTCCTTTAACTATTTATTTATTTTGATATAAAACTTATTTTAATATTTTATATTTTTCACAAGCTCCTCTTGTTTTTCTCACACATCTGAAAAAAAAAGTTATCAAATTTGTTTATTTTTGTTTTTTATGCATTACAACTTTGAAAAATGTGATTTTCAGGTATTTTTTTTCCCAGTAAAACAACCATACCCCTTGTAATAATATATAAGGGAAAAAACAAATGTGTAATAAGATTGACTGAATCAACTTCATACTTGTCCCTAAATTTAGGATGTTTCATAGCGGGTTGTGTCATTCATTAACTTAATTACAATGCATGTACAATATTCCCTAAATTCAATTATCCTACATGCAACATAATAGAAAATAAAAATATATATTTTAATTTTTTCTTAAGAAAAATACAAGTAGTTTAATTTTATACCTTCATAAATTTATTAATAAATGTAATTTATCATGTAATTTTTATCCTGAATTTAACATGATTTTTCATATTTTATATTATTTTTATTTTATTTTTTTTATAAATTTGTGTAACAAAATTCGTAATAATACTTCATATAACTTTATTGAGAAATAGAAAATAAAAATAAAAAATAACTTGATTAGGATAAATATATTTTAATTTTTCCAACAAAGAGGTGATTAACCACGTAATAACAAATGTGTACAGGTAAGTGGCAGAATGCAGTTAGGAGGTCAACATTTTCGTTGTACTTGACCACGATAGCCATGAATATGATTCCTTGTATCCTAAGTTGACGGTCTATAATTCCAACAGCGAAACTGAGTTACGACAAAACAACAAAGAGAGCATGTTAGTTGAGTTCGTTTCTAAAATTACAACTTGAAGACTCTTTTTTCGTCATGTCAAATTCAATACAAGGTCAAATGTCTGTTTCCTAATATTGACACCCATTAACGGTAAAACTGTTATGTTCCATAACGTTATTTTAACTCCAGAACACCATAAACCCCTAAAAGATTCTCCATTTTCCTCCACCTTTAAATCTCCTTCGTCTCAACCATATCATTTTCCCACACACTGCCTCTGCCTCTGCATTGGTTTCAATCAAAACAGCTTTTTGCTCTGTAATGGGGCTACGCACCTCAAAACTAAATGCAGCCAAAGGAGAGGGTGTCCCAGCAAAAGTCATCCCCAAAGTTGTTGCCAAATTTGAGGACTTCAAAAAACAGAGGAATGCAGAAAGCACCCTCTCCAAGAAGGAGCTATTAAAGCATGACGATGCAGAGGATTCGAATTCTCAATCTTCGCCTGAAAATGATTCGGGACATAAGGTCTCTTCTTCACAAGAGATTCAAAAACCCAGAGAGGAAATGGTGACGAAAGTAACAGCCGCAGAAAAACTTTCCAGAGTGGCTCCGGTGCCAAACTCTGAAGGTAGAATTATGGAGGAGAATCACCCCAACAAAGATAACACGGAGCAGGTTAACAGAGACATGGATTCCTACCAAGATAAATTGAATCATGTTGTTACGATGGTTGTGGCAGAGGTCAAAGCAGAGGAGGAAAAGAGTGCAAAGCCAGAAGGAGAGCCGAGGAAGGAAAAAGATGAACAATTGGGTGCAAAAGGTGATGATGATAGTGATGATGAAGATAGGCTTATACGTCCTGGATCACCTAGTTTCAGAATTTATTGCATTGAGTCCGAGAAAATAAAGGAGAGTGAATGTAAGTACTGAAAGAATTGATAGCATTATTTGGTAAAAAAAACTGTCACTTTTTTACCTGAAAATCTTGATAAATGATGCAGGTAATTGTCCACCCATTGTCAAGTACAGAAAAACGCGCAGCGTAGATTTTGTTCAAACAGTTGCATCAACAAATTCAAACAAGGTAAGCTACTATCAGGATTTCACCATTTCCTTTCACTTCATATGCTCCTTTCTTTTGTGCTTAAATTTGTTGTTTAAACCACTCAAAACAGAAAGAAACAATATATCTAAAGTTGCCTGAACTTGGGTTAAAATTTTCCATCTACCGCAAGAAAACAGTTTTGGTGATGATTTTTCTTTTGTCAGGTATGTCGGAAATCAGAATCAACACCGAAGAGAAAAGGAAATAAGAAGAAATTTGGTTCGGTGAAGAGTCTACTGAAGGTTAGGTCGTGCTATCACCCAAGGTGTATGTGTAATGGTGATGACAGAAGCTTTGTTCCTGCAAAAACAACAAATCGATGAAGACACTTACATTCCCTTTATTCTTTTTTATTTGGTCAGTGCCTCTTGGGCAGCTTAAGTTTCTTAATTTCCTATCTTGTGATTCCATCGATCAGATGGAGACCATATTCGTCTTCTCTTTGTTAATTTTGCCAAATGCTTCATGCATTTATGGTTGTAGCATTGATGTAGATTATTTTCCAATTTCTATATTATATATTTATTTTCTTTAGTCCTTTGCTCCACTTCCTAAAAGTTAACAAATTGCTAATTTCTGATAATACTTACTTTGAGGACATGCAATTGCCAAGTTTTTCAGCAAACTTGTAACAGTGTATTGACTATTAAATAGAACTTCAGGGACTCTTCCAAGTCATGTAAAAAGCTCATTACATACCCACCAAAACAAACACAATAAATCAAGTTATTCAAAGTTTGTTCTCAAGCAATAGAGTGACAGAGATTGGTTCTGAGAAATATGTAGCATGTTTTATCATGCTTACACTGCTTCCATTATACCTGTTCATTTTCTGAATAAAATATTTGAATTTTCTCCTTCTCCTTAAAATTAAAGTTGTAAACTTGATGCATGAATAACCTCTGATCTACCTTTGAAAAGGTCTCAAGAAAAAAAACCAATCTGTAATGTCCCTTCTCAAATGTACTAGAATTAAGTTAAAGTAAGTTTGAGTCTATCCTCAAGTAGGCTAAATAGATTAAGATAAATTTAAACTTATTATAAAACTTAAATTAATTTTTAGACATTCAACAAATTTCAAAATCCAGGGCCTGCAAATTTGATTTTGAGGGTGATGATATTTTTTTTTATTTTGTATTCCATGTACATTTGATTCACACCTGAAATTTTACTAAAATAGATTACGACTTCTGTGTACAAAACTTTATAGTAAAATTTTCTAAATTCTATTTTCTTATAAATAAATTATATAAATGCAAACAACCCTTTTGGAAACCAAATGTTCCTTAAAGTTTGACACGCTCAAACTACTGATTTGGAAGTGTAATACAAAATATCTTTTGCTGTATTGACCAATGTTTATCATTCCTCTTTCTTTCGTGGTTATGCAATATACAAAATGAAATATTTATACTATTATTATAACATTTTATATAAGAAATTGTATATATTAGATATAGATTAAAGTTGTTTAATTTTTAAAAATTCTGATATGTGGACTTAAAGGTGTATAAATATTAAAATAGTACATTTTTAAAACCTCTATAAAAATTACCTCAATAAAGTGATCTGAACAAAAACTATTATTACACAATATAACTTTAGATGTGTAGAGGACACCGCCCCTAAATTTGTATTTCGACTATTTTTATTTAAACGATTTTATTTTTTAAATATTTAATTTAAATAAAATAATTAATTATATTAAACTTTATTTTTGTATTTCGATAAATTATTCTATTTACTACTTAATGCATAAATTATCACCTTATAACATTAATCTCGATTAAAAGAAATCACCACAAATTTGTATTAAAGAAAAAATATGCATTTTACCACTGCAACAAAATCTCAAATATCAATTTTAGTAACAAGAAATAATTAATATATAGATTAAAAATTATTAGTAACTAAAATAATTTTAAATTAATCTTTATATTGGTCATTATAGTAAATTAATTTTAAAAATTTTCACATTACAAAGAAATAGTGACTAATTTAGAGACTAATTACTTTGATAGTCAAAACCTTAATAATTAAGGTTAGTGATCAATTTAAAGACTAATTCATTATAATTACTGATTTAAAAACTATTTTAGTTACCAATAATTTATAAATTGATCACTAAGATAACTAATTATTTTTTATCATTAAAATTGATAATTATATAAAATATTTCCTATTTATAAAAAATAATCCTACTAATACTATTAAATAAACGTTGACAAACGTTATTTAAGAACTATGTGACTTAATTTCCAGTTGACATAACTTAATTACGAATTTAATGTAAGAATAGAGTTTAATTAATAAACTTGGTTCTTGTCCGTGACTACGCTTCCTGCAAACATTAACCAATTCAGGGAAAGAATTAAGATCAAAATTCAGAAAACAGCAATAATTGACGTTGAGAACCCAACAAAAGCACTTAGCCTTTATGCCAACTTTGACTTTTTCACCACCAAAATCTGCTTTCTCATCATGCTATGCCTTGCCAGGCACAATGCTGCGTCGTTTTGCTTTCGACCTTTTCCTTCTCAATCTCTCTGTTTCAGACTTTGTGGCAATCCCGTTATTCTGCGCAAACCCGTGTCTCCTTTCTTTCAACTCTTTTAGAGATAAATAATAATTAAATCCCGTTATTAACATTTATGTTTTATATGATTAAAATATCACTAGTTTGGATATTTTGTAGATGTCTCATATATTTTTTAAAATTAAAATAAAAGTGATTGTAATATCTATATATATCAGTGTTGTTTTTAATAATTTACAATAACAAATTCCACAAAGATGAGGCTTTGGAAACTCAACGCCAAAATGATGATGATGATATCATTAACTAATAATGAATGTTTTGTTTGAATAGGTAGTTAATAGTACTAGATATTGTGTATAGTATAGTAATAACAATCAAACTGACTGTAAAAAAGCGAATTTGTGACATCCTGAGACTCCTTACCTCAAAAATCTTGTATTCTTGAAAAAAAAAAAAAAACCTTAGAATTCTCACTCATTCGCCGGCTATCAACTCCCTCACTGCTTACGGCGCCTCCATGCGTTTTCGCCACCCTGCCACCGCCACCAACAGCCACCGCCACCTCTGACAGATGGGTTGCGTCCTTCGAAAGCCGGCGGGTTCTGTCGACAGTCGCAGGGTTAAAACTTCGACCTCCGTCGGCGGGAATAATGCCGTTAAGATTCAGGAGAAGCAGGAGACTGTGCACGCCGGCGAACTTTCCGGCGTTATTCTGGCGCCGGAGCGCCGGAGACGTCGACTTGACTCATTCACGACGAGTCACCAAGGGTGGCCGCCGTGGCTGATGGTCGTCGCCGGCGACGCACTTGGAGACTGGACTCCTCGCCGTGCCAACACGTTCGAGAAGCTTGCTAAGGTAAGTGTTTTGAAGTTTGAACTTCGAAGCTTAATTGCATTTCCCAAAAAAAAAAGATAAAGCTTTTCTTAAATGATTGTTTGTGTTCTTTTTGTCTTCTGTTAGATAGTTTCTTTTCTTAAATGACGCTACGTGTAGTGTAAAAAGGTTTTGTTGTTGATTTCTGTGTTGTTTGGTTCAGATTGGGCAAGGGACTTATAGCAATGTGTACAAAGCAAGAGACCTTGTAACTGGGAAAATAGTGGCTTTGAAGAAGGTTAGATTTGACAATTTGGAGGCAGAGAGTGTGAAGTTCATGGCAAGAGAGATTCTTGTTTTGAGGAGGCTTGATCACCCCAATGTTGTGAAGCTTGAAGGGTTGGTTACTTCAAGAATATCATCCAGTCTTTACTTGGTATTTGAATACATGGAACATGATCTTGCTGGTCTTGCAGCTGGTGTGGGTGTCAAATTCTCTGAGCCACAGGTACCACTATTTTATGCTCATTTTTCCAAATTTTACTATTTTGCTCCTTAAGCTTCCAAGAAAAGGGTCCCATAGATCCAAGTATTGTGAGCGTGTTCATTACTTTTGATTTTGTATGATTCTTGCTCTGAAGTTTCCCGTGTCACATCACTCCATAAAATGAGTTCGGCACTTGATTCGGAAGTTTTGCTTTGTCCATGCAACCATGCTGAAGGAAAGAACTTTCTTTACTTTTATGTGTGTTTGGAAGGAGAATTTTGAGAGTGCATTGAAGTGCTTTGCTTTTTAAACTATGGGAATTTTGTGGAGAATTTTTTAAAATAATGTGGAATATGTTTACTTTTATGTTCAAATTCCATCTAATCCCCAATGAATTCTTTGGTCATTTATAAACAACGTATGTGCGTATCAATGTTGGTTCACACAAATATCAATATTATAGTTTAAAAAAATGTACATATGTATGTATATTTTACATTATCATTTATCCGTAGTTTACATAGTATAGCTTGCATATCATATAGGGAGGTAAAAGTTATTATATGGTGACTGCCGTAATCCTCATTCAATTTCACATGACACATAATCGAGTTCTATTAAGTCTTTTCTGTAATTTGAAAGACTGTTCAGGACTATGAGTACATGGTGGTCTGAGACCATGTAGTAATACTTTATCCATTTGGACAGTGATGATTTACATTTTGTACTGTTGGAAGAAGAATGTTAAATGATACAGTTTTATTGCTTGGTTTAATGGTGAAATTATGCGAAACAGTAGTGCCTTTTCAAGCATTAGTAAGAATAGAAGGGGGGATTAATCTTTCACATTTAAAAATGTAAGGAAAAATTGTACTGATAGGCTGATTGTTTCTCAGTATGTTCTATGTGACAGATCAAATGTTATATGAAGCAATTGCTATCTGGGCTTGAGCATTGCCATAGCAGAGGAGTTTTGCACCGTGATATCAAGGGTTCCAATCTGCTCATTGACAACGAAGGAATACTTAAAATTGCAGATTTTGGTTTGGCAACTTTCTATGATCCTAAGCAAAAACATCCTATGACCAGTAGAGTTGTGACCCTTTGGTACCGTCCCCCCGAGCTTCTTCTGGGGGCTACATCCTATGGCATTGGTGTCGACCTTTGGAGTGCTGGCTGCATTTTAGCAGAACTTCTTGCTGGAAAGCCAATCATGCCTGGCCGAACAGAGGTATTGTTTCTTTGTGTTGTTCGTTGAGTAACTTTGAACTCTTTAGATAAACCTATCAATAAACATTCCTAGGTGAGAAAAATAAGAAAAAGAAACAAATGACTTTCTCCAGGAGTTGAAATTAGATTGTGCATAAGCAATGATCAATTGATAGCACTCACCTTTTTTAGCTTGATGGACGGCTGACCAGATATGGTTTATAGGCCTAAAGGCAGAAACATCATTATAGTCCGAGAATAAAGAGAAGCTACT